CTTATTTTCTGCAACTTGTCACAAATAACGGAACCTTTGTACATTTTGCTGAAATCGTAAGAAGTCTTCAACTGTTAGCGGTCTCCTATTGCTCTCAAGTCGGTTAAGTTTTCGAAATAACACACACACAGTCTAGGACTCTTAAATAATTTTCGATGTTCGATATACATTTAATGATTTAAATTATATATTCAATTTAATGATTTTGCTTGTTATTTTTACAACCAAGTTGCCGGTGGCTTCAGCCCCAATAGTCACCGGCAAGCACCTGAATTTAGCAAAAACGACTTTTTAGCTTAAGTTACAAGGCGATTTCCATTTTTCTTTTGTGCGCCAGTACTTAAGTACAGTTTTAAAAATTAGAGGTTTCATTCACTCATCATTAAGTGGTTATCGAACGTTGATGCTTTTTTGTTATTCATACATACATACATACATGTTTCACATGTATGTATACATACATGTTTCACATGTATGTATGTACACATGATTCTGTAAAAAAAATGTAACGCTTCAAAGCCGCTAGCAAAATATCTAAAGTATATTAGTTCGTTCCAAATCAAAACTCATTCTATCACTAATATTCCTAACTTTAGAGAAATTTAAATCATATACATACATATATGTACATATGTACATACATACCTACATATATATGTATACATAAGTAAGTAGGTTACTAATAAATATGATTGTTCAACACATGTCGCACAGACTGTAACCATACTTATACTTAAACATAATTGTAACTAGCATTAATTACAACAAACATAGACGAATGAAATTAAACTACAATATGAAATATAAATAAATTGTACTGTGCTGCAGGAAAATTTCAAAATGGTGAACGCGCCAAAAGCGAGAAAATAAATTATAAAAGAATTATTGTAAAAAATCAAACAACCGTTTTTCACTGCTTGTTGCAAAGCTGGGACGGACTCAATAGTACAGTGAACGTCTGTTATTGGTTGTCCGAAGAGTATTCAGTTGCAGTAAAATGGCTCCGCTTTTAAATTAAGTAAAATGATAGTTTCTTTACTTTTGGGGTTTAACTAAGTGGACCTGTTCCACACAGTTTCCCAACGCATAGAGATTTTAAAATTCCTACAATTTCGTGCAGTCAAAATGTATAGTATATATCTCATCTACTAAGAAATTTTTAGTCAAACTTAGGGTTAAGAAAAGAGATCAAATCGCTTTTGGTGCAGGAGTGCAGAGAACGATTGAACAACCTAGCTGCAAAGAACCAGGTGCACCTAATCTGGGTGCCCGGCCACAGGGGCATAGCCGGCAACGAACTGGCTGACGAGCTAGCCCGCTCCGCAGCCTCCACCAGTATGGTTGGGCCCGAACCATTCATTGCTGTGCAGGAGCTGCTCCGCAAGGAAGAAAGAGTGTGCAGGGAAAGGTATTGGCAGTGAGCGCACGGTATGCGTCATGCCAAGCTGCTAGTTGGGGGGTATAACCAAGAAACAAACTCAGGATCCTGGTTGAATTCTATACCGGCCACTGCAAGCGACAGGGACCCTGAAACCCCGGAGCACCTGCTAATCGACTGCATTGTAGTCTGTAGGCGCAGGTCGAAGGCCCTTGGAGCGATGTTTCTGGATAGGGATCACATCGCCTCGCTAGCACCCAGCAAAATACTGGACTTCGTCAATATGCTGGGGCTAAGCGAGTCCCTTTGAGTTAGGAAAGGGCACAATAGACCTAAGATCGCAGTGCATTCCTCAGTTATGTATCTATGTCTAGGGTTAAGAATCCTTAGCAGGTCCTAGGGATAATGCAGTGCTGAGTGACATTGGGCAATAACGTCGGCCACTTGAATTCTTTAAGCCTTTAGAAGTAACCCCAGAATTCACATGCATATGTATGTATGTATGTTTGGTATGTACAAGCTTACAGACATCATGGTAATCAGCAGCTTTGTTCTAGCCTATCCCTTCCTTAACTCCGAAAATCGAATACAAAAATTGTGAATTTGGAGATCGCAGCATACGGCTAACTATATTCCCAAACTAACAGTCAATATGTGTATGTAAATGTTTTGTTGAACATGCCTTCGCTTACAAATGTACTGATCATTAAAGGAAAATTTTGCTAAATGAAATTAAAAACAAGAAAAAACATAATTACGCACTGAAACTATAATACGCTTCAAAAATAAAATAGTTTAAATACAAAAACTTGATGTTACAAGCTTCGTGGCAAACTTGTTCAGGGTATAGCAAGAACTATACGTACGTGGAAAATTAAAAATTGTAGGTACCTATACAGAGGCAATTTTTATTGACAACCAACTGTCATAATTATTGCCAGATAAAACTATTATCTTTGCCAATATTTTTATGTGGACATTGGTATTTAATCATTTTACAGAAAGTTCTTTAATTTTTCTACATCATTTAATACACGGTACGAAACTACTTTACATTTGAGGCAATTGCAATTGCACACCATCGCAGTCCAAGCAATAATTCAAACAAGATATTGGTGCCCGAACACAGCTGGATGACCTAGAGGTATCAGCTGAATTTTGACACTTGACCAAACGTGTATTGGAGGAATTTGGCGGCAAAAACAGTAAATAAAAGAAAGCAGTGGAGAAAAAATGTGTCTAAAATGTTGAAACTGGAACTTAGTAACTGTTTTGGCTGTTAATTATATTATGTATGAACTAATTGAATCTATAAAATATTTTGGTTATAATTAGTAAATTAATGCTTGTTGAATGCTTTGAATTATTTTAAGTCGATATGCTCAATTTAAATTGTGTTATTTGTGCTGAGCTGTTTGTCGCCTCGGATGATGTGCGTGCAACCAACTGTGGTCATATGTTTCACATTACATGCTTAAAACAGTGGATGGAACGGTAAGTACACATACGATTACAAAATTCAGCTATAATGAATTTTCTATTCCTAACACAACAGATCGAAATCATGCCCCCAGTGTCGAACTAAATGTACGGATCGTAATATATTCCGCATTTATTTCAACTTGGCTAATCTGGATGTAAGCACTATCGACGTGGGATCACTGCAAGAGCAAGTGGACAACGCTAGTCTGCAATTAAAAATGAAGGAAAAAGAGTTGAATAAAGCGGAACAACAAATTAAAGATCTTAAGGAATGCCAAATTAAAGCAGCGTAAATAATATAAAATCTAATATAAAGAAAAATTTCCATTAATCCAATGCCTAATGTTTGTATATTAGGAAAACAATTCAAGCAATGGAACAAAGAATAAAGAAAAATGATTTCGTAATACTTACATATTCGGAACAGGTGCGTGGTACATTTAATTATAAAAATATCACCTGTAATTAACAACAAGAAATTTTTGCTCGTTTTCAGCTGAAAATCTTTAAGACTGAAGCAAAGATGGCCGATGACTTACGCAAAGAGGTGGAACGCCTAAAGCAACAAATTAAAACAATAGAGTCAGTACAATCGGTGCTCGCCGCAACAACAGCAGAAGCTGAGAAAATGCTCAAGATCGAAAAGGATCCTGTGCGACTATGCACCTGGGTAGCTGCACTGAAGCGGTTAGTATGTAGGAGAACAGAAATATTATTCATGCATCCCAACTCTTAGATGAAATATTTAAGCGATTATATCTTGTTATTTATTACATTACGCACAATTCAGCGAACTTCGCACATGTGAAACAAAGAAAACTGATTTGCGCCGGGCTATGAAAGTTATACAGGACAATTTGCGGCAAGAAATGGCTACTAAAAAGTAGTATAAATATATAATATATTTTAAAATTTGAATTAAACCTAAATTCAAAACAAATTCGCAGGTCTTTTGAGGAACGCATTTCACAATTGGAAAGTGAAAACTATCAATTACAAGAGAAAGTACGAAATAATGGAGTAAATATATTTAAAACAAATTCTGATACTTAATCCTTTTTCAGGTAAAAGTACTAGAAAACAAAGGTCCAACAAGCTTCATGCCAGACCATCGCAGGCAAAGCACAGAATCTGCGCCGATTTCATTGCCGGAAAAACGTCAAACATTGTCGCCCACTGTGGTTGGTATATAGCCATATGCTTTTGAAATATAATTTTTATTACCTTTTTAATTTGCAGAAAGAAAACCTGAAGAAGATTGAAGACTCAAATTCTCCTTATCTCAATATTAAGTCCAGCAGTATAGGCCTGCTGCCGTTGTTTAAACGCAATCAAGACAATCCGCCAGAGCGAACGGGTGTTACAACTACGAAATTGGCGACATTAAGAATATCACCAAGAAAGACTGATAAAGACAGTGCCGCTAACGGAATCGGTAGCAGCTTGGGAATACTACGCAAAGCTCAAAGTGATATCACAGAAAAGGTTCCAGATAAATCTAATATATATCTTAATATCGTATGACATAAAGTGTTATTCATATAGTATTCCATCATGAAGAAGCCGCGGCTGGCAATTAGCTCTTCTTCATCAACAGCTAAACACTTTGGCATGAATTTCGAACCGAGCAGTACGCGAGCCGTATCGCCCACAAAGCCAAGGCCAATCGGAAGTAATTTAGATAGTCGTCTAAAAGCTGGTGGCTTGCGCAAGTTTAAGTTAAACAAATGATGTCTGCAAGTTGGCATGCATTTAAAGAAACCAATTAGTACCTATCATGTATTTAATTTAGATATTTATTAAAAAAAAATTTGAATATTATCAGATTGCATTTAATTTTTTGTCTTGCGGAGATACTTGGAATTTAAAAATGCGATTTATTGCATTCCTTGCTATGATCCATATCGGTATCAATTCTTACACGTTTTTACCAATTTTTTCAAGTTTTGTTTTATAAAAAAAAATTAAAATTAAATATCCAACCAGCTACGTTTGAATAAGTTTTAACTAAAACTCTCCATTGTCTTATCATTTGTGGTAGTTTAACTTTTTTTTCGTTTATATTTAATATATAGTAGTTTTTCGTTTGTCAGTATGAATATGGTTGTGTAAAAAATATTGAAATGAGTATATGTTGCGATTAAGATTTAAGTAAAATAGTAGTATATTATTAATGGAATACTGGACTCAATTTACACAAAGGCTCCTTTTACAGCTTTGAAGATAGAAACATGAGCAGTACCAGCTTCTTTTTTTTACAGCATAAGCGCGTTTTTATAAAAGCCTTTCATATGCCAATAATTTTCTTTTCAGCAACTCCTGTGAATTCTTCGCGAAGTTCTACTTTACATCCTAAATCGCGAAGTGCCGCCTTTACATCCTGTTGTATTGATGGATGCGAACTTAGCGCTGCATTTAATAGATCTTCCACCCCAAAGGAAATCCAGCTTTCGCACTGATCTCGTGAACGAGACACCATATTGCGAATGGCCCAAGCACCGTTGCGCTGTACGAAAGAGAGATTTTCACAATATTTTAAGCTATGATATGAAAGCATTTCAATTTACTTGAACTATCTTATTTTTAGGATGCATACGAACAGCCTCTACAATGGTTTCTGCAATTCCGGTAGCAAAGAAGGCTGCACTATTATCTTTAACACGCAGTGTCAATGTTGCAATACAAGCCAATGCCCCAGAGACTACATTCTCATTTGACTGTAGATATAAATGATTTATAAGAATTTGTTCTTTCAAAGCTTTACGAGATGTGGTAGAGCACTCACCAGATGTGTTTCTAGCACTTGCTTAATAATCGGGGCTGCACCTTGTTGCACAATATGCGCCTTTACAGTGTCGTTGCCGCCTAATGCACGTAGTAGCTTAAAGGCTTCGCGATTCACACGAACAGACGTTTGATTAGCGGTCTGAAAACATACTAAAATATCATAAATGTTGTTAGATATGAAGCTCATATTCACCATTATATCAAACACGAATTTAATCCCACCCGCATCCTCAATGGTTGTGCAAAATTCTTGACGCACCGCTAAGGCACCGATTGTCAACACCAAATCTGACAAAATGTTGGAATCATTGTATTCACCCAATAATTTTGTCAAATCCACAATGTATTCGCTCGCAATGCGACGCGCATGTTCGTGTGCGCATCCAAACTCTACGCGAATATCATCGTCCAGCACAAGATAGCGCAGAACAGCTAGAACTTCTCGAATAAGTTTTAGGCTGCTCTGCTTGGACACAAATGGCTTCAACTTCTTCACCACGCCAGCATTGACAATATTTTGCCGATTGATTTCGTGCATTATACTTGCTTTTTGCAACCATTGCAGCGTAAGTATTATTATATTTTCATCTTCGATGGACAAAAGTTTCAAAATTACTGCCAGGGCTTCTGCATCGAATATATCTGGTTGYTTGTTTGTAAAACTATTAGCGCACTTTAAACAAGCCTCTAAGACGGACAAATTAGGTTTCACATCTTCAGAAGAGTTTTGGTTCACCAATTCCTGCTCTAGAAGCGTTACAAGGGCTTCATGGGCGCTGTTCTTTCCTGCGAGTACCCGATGGGAGATAGACTGACAAAATTCGAATCAATTAAAAGATTATTTTTGACTATTTGAAAATACCTTTTGGCATTCAGTGTCTAAGATAGACAAGTTTTCCAGTAGTTTCTTGGTATCGGTGGATTTTTGGCCTATATAAGTTTTTATTTCATCAATTATTTCATTCAGTACCGGCTTGCCAGTGTCTGGATTTATTGTTAAATCCTTAATGATGTTTGCCAAATTAATTCCCTATTAATATAAAAATATTAAGTATAAAATTATATGTATAACTTTGGTAAAAAAAAAAAAATTTATTTGTTGATTTATTATTATTTATTGAGCGAATGTGCATATACCTGGGCTTCGAATTGCTTGATTGTTTCTTCTTTTGCTTCATCTGGGCTCATGGAGAAGTCCACGATATTTTCTTTTACCACATCATCAAAGGTTTCTTGTGAAATAACCTTAGCCATTTTTCACTTAAAGTAAAAAAAATATATTTTTTGTTGCTGGAATGAAGTCATAAATCCATCCCACTCACCTATTTTTGTGCAACCAATAATTTCTTTGTTCAATGACTACACTTTATTTCACCTAATCAATATATAAAAATGGATATTTCTTATAAATGGAACTAATGTTTGGAATTGATGTGTTATATGTGCATTTAATTTTCGAATCTTAAATTATCTTATGTTTTATACACTTTAAATTTTGTTTCTAAAAAGTTTATTTTATTTCAATTTACGATTTTACGGTTTGCATGATTCTTCTTTGATTTCTTTTGTGGAAAGGCACTTCAGCTGTTGCCAAAAAGAGTTGCTGACTTCAAAAAAAATGTTTAAAATAGTAAAAATACAGAATGTACATATTAACTGTAAAGAAAATTAAAAAGCGATTATTTTTTATGTAAAATTATGTTTTGGTAATAATTATTTTCGTTTCTTTTGGAATAAATTAATTGTTCTTTTATTAATAAAAATTTAATATTTAATTAGTTGAAATACAACCCTGAATTAGCAGATGCAAAAAGGAAAGAAAATTTAATAGAAATGACAAAAGATCTTGCACACGTTTGTCACAGTTTTGATTTGTCTGTCACATTTTTGCTTTCAATTTAATTCTCTGTCCAAAACAGGAAAATATTAATATACTTCGCGATTTCTACACGGACGAACAAAATTATTGAGTTCTAAATCCTATCAATATTTTGCTTTGCTTTTTGCATTGAAAATTTACAATGGCCGATTGGGGTAAGTAGCTGTTCTGGAATGTTGTCGATTCATCAATGGATTTCTGGTACATTTCACTACATTCATATGTGTTTGTCATTGCCTGACACAAACACTGAAGGCAGTGAAGGTGAATTGACAGCAGCAGTTTTACTTAATAATACAAGGGCGATGTGAGTTGGCTCGAACATGAGAAAGTAATATATATTATGCAAGAAAGATATGTGAACTATATTTAGTCAAATTTTAATAAAAGCATCTATATTTTTCATAATATACACGTATAACAGAGTCAGCCGCTGATGAGGATGTAGTCATACGTCCTAAAATCACAAACGATGTTAACAAATGGGAGGGAGAGGATGTCGACGAGGATGTAAAGGTATAGTTGTATTGTTACCTTGCTAATTAATATTTGTAATCATAAAACTCGGTGGTTTCACATAGCATGAATGTTTTTAACATTTGTCTATACACATTTTGTGTATGAATTATATCAATCTGCTTTGCTATGATTTTCTAGTATTCCATTATTTAAATTCAGATTGACTATACTTTGTGTACACGTGGTCATGTCAATTACATAGGGCATCGCATATTTTAAATAACAATTTATGTGTATTAGATATGTTTATATATAAATATAAACATAATAAAACATATATTATTATTATGTTATTAAAATATTATTAAGTTTTTTCATAAAAACCTTGCTATTATTTTCACTTTTAATTTTATAGTGTTTTAATGACCAAAATGTTTGCTTTTTATTGCCCACAGGACAGTTGGGAAGACGAGGAAGAAAAAAAGGATGAAGAAAAATCCGAGACAAAAACAGAAGTGCCAACAAAAACTAAACCAAACAAAGCATTGAAAGCCAAATTAACGGAACAAGAAGTATGTTATATTAGTTACAAAGGCGTTTAGATATAAATTACTATACAAAACAAGACATACTAATGAAGTATTTTTCCATTTCAATAGCGCCTAGCTGAAGAAGAGGAAGAAAAACGGCTAGCTAACTTGACGCCTGAAGAAAAGTCGGCTGAAAAATTACGCTTAAAAAAAATTCAAGAAGAATCAGACCTCAAAAGTGCGCTGGAAACATTCGGTGTAACGGAAATCGGTAAAGGATTAGAGGAATTCAATCCACAAACGAAAGAGGAGTTCAAGGAATTTGGTGCGACGCTCAGTTGGAAGTTGTCACATTACAAAGAATCGCCACACTTCCCACAATTTGTTGAGGACCTAGTTCGTAGCATATGTGTTAATTGTAAGTGTTGTTTACATTTTAATAATGTTAGTTTAAAGCTCTTTAATATATTTTTACATTTTACAGTACCTGCAGCGGATATAAAAAAAGTGAAAATGAATGTAGAAAGTTTGCATACAGAGAAGCTAAAAATGGAAAAACAAAATGCGAAAAAACCTGCTAGCAAAGGAAAGAATAAAGTATCTTTGCGTACAGAAGCTGATGTTCGTATCTAAAACAATCACAAACTTTCAACCCTATTTTCAATTTCGTTATTTTTTATTTTCATAGGATATTGATGGTTATCAGAAATATGGAAATGACTATGCAGAGGATTACGATGACTTCATGTAAATACGATTGAGATGCAAGTGACATACTTATTGCATATAGAAAATTTCTCTTCGCGTTTAATTTTTTGTTAATCTGAAATTGTACACTAAAAATTTTTTAATAAGAAATTTCAAATATGCTTGTGAATTCATTTTATATAATTATACTTTATTAAATATGTAAAAAAAACCATTAAATTTCAAATATGTACTAGATCTATTTGTGATAATAATTTCGCTTGAGGATACATAAGCCTAATGTCCTACTGAACATTAAATTCACTATCTGCGTTGCATTCGACCAAAGGAAGTAAATTTACTTAAGCTGCAACTCCATAGCCAGTAATTATTGCCAACCAATTTATTGCATTTGGTGTTGGCAATATTTTTATTGGGCATCTAATCGATTGGCGAAATCATTTCCGAAGTGTCTTCGGAGATACATGTTCGATCTATAGATACTAATTGCTAAACATTAGCAATCTGCCAAGATTGTTAGGTTGTTATAAAAATGAGAACAGTGGTTTTGAACCACCAAAATGTCAGTTTATTACCAATAGTGATCATAAAAACTCAAGACAACTTTTGCCAGAAACTGCAATATGACAACTTTTTAATAATAAAAAAAACCTCTGGCATCACCGGTAGTTTCAGCTGTTTTCATGTTACAGTTTTTCCCAACAAACGCTTTACAAAATTTTTATTCTATTACATTTTGCGTTGGTTAAATATCAAAACATATGAGGAGTAAATTAAATTCTCGAGGTATTAATACAATATAATATAGAATTTTACATTCACGTTAATAAATTTGTGAAAGGCGGAGACTACCATTCCGTTCCTGGTACTTACGATGGTGAAACTGGCGAAGACATGCAATTGATTGACGACGAGGACACGTGTGGCGTGGAAGAACTGGAAAACTTGTTCCAAGTCAAATGCAGAATCGGCAACGAATTGGCAGTATCATTAAATAATGACTATATTCTACATTTAGCCGCTGATAGGTATATAGTATTCTAATAATTTTTTGTGATTTATATAAAAATTTATTACGCAGTTGCTTTACCCGGGTTGCAGCAGGCTTATCAAACGCTATCGTTCACATCTTTGACGTTAACGTTGAACGGGCCTTCCAAATATCTTCAGTCACCAGCGTATCAACACCGACATCAAATGAGCGTGTAGGTATATGCGGCGTACGTTTTTTAGATGATACTCCTAATTGCCTGTTAGTTGGTGAAAACAATGGAATCGTACGTTTGTACGACTTACGCACGCAAAGAGAACAAGCACGCTTCCAAGAAAATATCGAATGCACAGACAATTTTTCTTATTACGGTAGAGGCAGAGGCACGAGTATGCGTAAAGCCATAAATTGTTTTGACAGCAATTCAAACGGGCGCATTATTTGCACTGGTACAGAACAGTATCAGGGTGACACTTACCTATTATTCTATGATGTTCGACAGCGCGAACACCTCGGTGGTTATTTCGAAAGCCATGAAGATGATATAACTTCATTACGTTTCCACGATAAAAATCCAGATATCTTATGCTCCGGATCTGTTGATGGTCTAATCAACGTATTCGACATTAAAGAGGAGACTGAGGACGACGCTTTAACAGCAACCATTAATACGGAATGCAGTATACAAAAACTGAATTGGTATGTAAGAGAAATTGATGCAAAATTTTGTTTGATAACAATTTGTATGTTTTATATATTTTTTTTTACTTTAGGCATAGAAATATTTATGAACAATATGTAATATCTTGTGTCACGGATACAAATGACTTTCATGTGTACCTCGCAGAGGAAGGTGATGTAGTAGCGAAATTCGATCGGGCCCAAATAACAGCAGCGGCCAAGAGGAAAAATAAGGATAACTGCAATGTCGTTGATGCGCATAGTAACGGGAATGGCGACTTATTGCTTCTAACTGGTACAAACAACAAAGGGTTAGTATTAATGTTAGGCACTATTACAACTTTTTTTTTTTATTATAACAAATCTAATAATTATATACTTATTCAAATATTTCTAATTTTATTTCTTAGTGAAGTGTTGCGTACTCTTCGTTTAAATAAGAATTTGCTACCAATGGCAGATTTCATTGGTACTAAACAAGTCGTTCGAGCGAGCGTATATGACAAGAAGGTAAATTAATATGATATTAGTTATTTTCACTTTTGTGAAGTGATTTTTTTGCCTTTAGAGCGGAGCACTGGTGACAGGCGGAGAGTCGGGTTTCGTTACTCTTTGGACCACGGAGGGTTCACAGAAGGAAGATGGAGGGTTAGCTAGCAGTTCAAGTGAATTTAAACATAAAAATAAAAAATCTAAAAAGAAAACACCTTATTAAAAGAAATTAGGCTATTAAAATCAATTTATTATAATTGCATTAAATTTGAAAAATTATAGAAATACGATACACATTAATTATCATTGTTTTTATAAATTTCCTAATTAAACATTAAGCCTAAGCACTAATTGAATACAATTTTTTATAGTATCGAGCAAATGATTTACTCGAATGCATACTGTTTCAAAAGGTAACATTGACTTACAAAGTTTACATAGTTTCCATTTGGAATGCCCTTTTGACATCATAAAACATTTAAAATATCTATTACTTTAGCTTATATAATTATGGATACTTTAGGGTAAATCGTGCAAATCATGAGTAGTATAAAGCAGTTCTATGCGATCGTATACCGATTTAGTATGTTGCAGCATTTCAGGGAGCACCTCTATCGCACGTGACACATTTATGCAAACACGTTTCAGCAATTCTCCCTGGGTTGGTAACGCATACATAGCAACTACAGCTCCTTTTCTTACCACCCATGGATGATGTTTTGCTAACGTGTCATTATATGCACTCTTGCAACAAGAATGTGTTTTATCACATTCATTTAATTCAGACAACCGTTTTAGAAACTCGTATATGAATTCTGAAAAATAATTGCAAAAGGAACAATTGCTGGTAGAATCAGTTCAGTTGTTATATAAATAATCTTTTAATAATAGGTACCACACTACACTAAATGCACTAAAACAGGTCATAAATAACATTTTGTTTTTGTATAACCATACGATAACAATACATACATATGTATATAAATAAGTTCTATAACTCCTGCATTTACGATTTGCTTACGTGTACGAGATGCTATGATTTGCAATACTAACTCACCCAAACCCCTATGTAATCGCAGAAGTGTCCTCGACCCCGAAACGTAACTGTGATCCTTAAGAAGTTCCTCTCCTTTTTCATAGGTTATCATTGTTTTAATTGTCAGGAAACGTTCACCAGTTGATTCCTTTCGCCTGTATTCACAAAGTATGTCGATTTTACTACGCACATCACTACTAACAAATCCGAATACAGAACCCATTAAATGGAAAAATCTAAAACAGAAAAATTATTCAACTATGGCCACTAATATTTATTTAACCTGTACATACTTATTGATTTCTTCATAAGCCTCTAAATATGAATCCAACAACACATCATCGTTCTCATGTAAACAATCCTGAAATATTTTAGCTACTCTTTCTACATCAAAACGTTCGACAGCGGACATGGTTGTAAATTTAAACAAACATTAAGTTTTTGAAAATTATTTAGTTAAACTTTTTGCTTTTACAAAAAGATTATGGTACTTAAAGATTGAAAATTAAGAATAGGAACACAACAAAGGAAATTGTTATTACCAAAGCTGACGTTTCGTATAGGGTTGCTGTTGCGCTCGATAATATATGTTGTAACACAGCTCACACAGTGTGTTAGCATAAAGTAGAAACATTTAACTTTTGTATTTATCAATTAATTGTTTTGTTGTTTCTTAGCCTCACACATACATATGTATACCTAATAATGAAGTTGGCGGTTCTGGATCAGATACAAATTCTAAGCGTATCGTAAAAAGGCTATAAAATTAATTATGCGATTTGATGGTTTTATAAATATTGCTAAACATTAAGCAACAATTGATTTGTTCGTCGTATTCAAAAAAATTATTTGCGTTGTTCAAATGAATTTTATCTTTTGTTTACACACATATCTTTGGAGTTTTTTTTGTATAAAATCAAGATGGATTCAAAATTAATGAATATTTTGTTTATGAGCTTGGCGTTTTTTACAATTTTCTTCGCATTTCAAACAACTGCCAGCCTTCAGGTAAACTAAATTTATTACAAAAAGTCTTTCAAGTAATTATATATGTGTTTTCGAAATTGCAGAAAAAAATTCTGCGCACAGAGCATCAAAAAAAGCATAGTTTCGAAAACAGCGCTTTTACCAGCTTGGGAATATATTATTTCGTTTTTGCGGCTACTTGTTGGTTCGTACCACCCCTCGTTGCAGTAGTTGGTCCACGATGGTCACTGGTTATTGGAACCATAACCTATTTGTAATGCATTGGATTAAATAAATATTACTTTCCGATTAATTTTTCTAACCTCTTTCATAATATCCCAGACTATTTATTGTGCATTTCTACCATCCCTTCGAATGGCTGCTGTATTCGTTAAATATAACCCTAGGAGTTGGTTCTGCAATTATATATATTACACAGGGTAATTATATTGCCAGAAATAGTGACGATAGCAGCGTAACGAGGAATTCGGGAATATTCCTTTCGTTTCAACAAGCAAGCTACATGATATCGGCTGTCTTGTTATATTTCAAGTATGCCAATTCTGAGGAAATTGAAGATATGGACCGTTACATAATTATGTCGGTATTAACATTTATTTGCATAATTGGTCTGGTAATGTTGTTCTTCTTGCGATTGCCGCAAAGCAACCAATCCATAGACAAGGAAACACATAACAGTTGTTCCGCTGTATTTGTAACCATTCGGGATAACATTATGCTTCTGCTCGAAAGAGATATGTTACTGCTGATAGTACTCTTCTTTTACACAGGTAAGGAGAAACGGCATTCTGTATTTTTATTCTAATATTTGACGATGTTTTCAAATAGGATTGGTACAAGCATTCTATAACGGAGTTTATGGTCCCGCCATGTCGTACACTCAAAATTTAAATATGCAACCGGACGAATTATCGTTTACTGGTTACATATTGAAAGGTTGTGGAGGATTTTTGGGATCACTGTTCTTTGCTATTCTGGGCGATATGACCATTCGTTGGGGTCGTGATGTATTTATGTATTTAGCAGGCGTATTCCATTTATTTACATTCATAATCATCTATCTCAATATCCCGAATGAATCATCCTTTGGCGAAAACCAAGCTGCATCCATCATTGACCCACCCAATTTTTATTTGGCAATAGCCTGCAGTTTTCTCTATGGTTTGGGAGCAGCGTTTTACACCGTTCATATTTACAGTATGTTGGCTGGTGCTTTTGTTGCGGAATCGACCGCCGGATTCGGAATTTACAAATTTTTTCAGGTAAATATAAATGACCAAGGGCTCTTAAATGCAAGAGATTTAAATTTCTTTGCCTACTTATAGTGCCTTGGGTGTGCACTGGCTTACCTATATTCGAAATATGCCAGTTTATACATCCAAATGGGGATACTAATCGTGCTGCTGATAGCGGCCGTCGCCTGTTTCGCAATTGTTGAACGATCCGTCAGAGCTAAGCAACAGGCTGATCAACCCTAAACTAATAATGTAAAATATAACATGTTTAGTAATTGAAAGCAATAAATTAAATATATTTCTTGTTTTAATATAATAATACATATATACATATACTATAGGTATATCTTGGATGTGTAAAATTTCTGTTGATCCATAAACCAATAATCTTTCAAATCTGTATTTATTATAAAAGTTGAAAATTTCGGCAACACAAGAACACAGAATTAGGAACACTCAGATCCAGCCATAAAAACATTTCAAAATGTCCAAAAATACGATAAGGAATAATCAGCTGATATTCGTATATGGTTAAAACTTAGGCGGAAGCGGAAGTCTAGCTAAACTAATAGAAAACTTGTTCTGTAAATATAAAAACATTTGGCTCGCAGTATTACAGTGTACAGTGTGTTTTTGAAATTTTGTTGTGACCACCTTAATAATAGTTTACCGTCTTTTGTGGCTTAAATATCCGACTAGTTGGCAGCAAGTCGCGATTACTTTTCTCGCGTACCTACCAAAACGAAACCAATACATTTGAACCTGCACTCCACAGCGAACGGGAAACTCACCAACCATACAAGTGTAATCTTACGCTCCGCGCCATCTTTATTGGTGTAATTTTTGAAAAGTTAACGAACAAAAGAACGAGCGCACACCACTACAGCCAACGAACGAGCGCCAAATTCGTATCTACGGCTGTGTTGTATATCGTTTATGTCGCTCATTCGCTGTGCAACAGTCAAAGCTTGTGGACGTACCTGGCGGACAGTGAACGTTGTTTTTGAACGGTGTTATGTTCTGAGTTTTAAACTGGGCTTAAACGAACAGTCGTGTGTGAGTGTATGATTTTGTGCGTTGCTTTCCTGGCGTCTTTATTCCTATAAATAATAACAAAAGCAACGAAATTACCATCACAGATAGCAAAGTGAGCAATAAACATACGGCTAAAGAAAATATATTTCTATAGTGTTGTACTTATTTTTGTTGTGTCCGAAAGAACTGTGGTTTAAAGCTAAGGTGAAAATCGTCAGCATCCGAATGTGAAGTGGATGGAATACAGAAAATAAAGAGAGACTATAAGCATAAGCAACCAAATACAACAACAAAGTGTAGTTCTCGCAAGACAATTGTACTGAGTTTTATTCATTATACGCTTTAAGTGTGTTCGTACTTCGTGTGTAGCTCGCATGGATGCAAAGTGATCGCCAAAGCCAGACTCTGAAATTCACTAAAGCGAAGCAGAGGCAACAGTTAAAAAAGCTACGAGCATAAAGAAGCAGCAAATAAGCCAAACAACCAGCCAACAAAAGAGTATTCACCGAAAGTTATTTATTCATTTTGCAATATATACATATTTAGTATACACTCACTCGTAAAGTTATTTTAGGGTGTGGTGCGTACAACTTTCCCAGAAATAATTTAATAAATCACGTGGAAATCGTCAGTGCACAACTTATAATAAAAAGTATTTTATTGCAATGAGCCTGTTGTCAAGAAAACAGCGATCGACAGCCAACTTCATGGCCAACACTATGTCCCCATCGTTCACCTTCTTAGTCGCCGTTGTGGTATGCTTATTGGCGCTATTGGCAGGCAGTGCGCAAGCGCAGCGTACTCCAACAATTTCGTACATCACACAAGAACAAATTAAGGATATCGGTGGCACGGTCGAATTCGATTGCTCGGTACAGTACGCGAGTGACTATCAAGTACTGTGGTCAAAGACGGATGCCGATCCCGTCTTCTTGTCGACCGCCTCAACGTTGGTGATTAAAGATTCACGATTTTCTCTACGTTATGATCCCAATTCCTCCACATATAAACTGCAAATCAAAGACATCCAGGAGACTGATGCAGGCACATACACCTGTCAAGTAGTAATTTCCGTCGTACATAAAGTCAGTGCCAATGTGAAGCTTTCCGTTCGTCGTCCACCCGTCATCTCCGACAATTCAACACAATCGATAGTGGCGAGCGAAGGCAGTGAAGTGCAGATGGAATGCTATGCCAGCGGGTATCCGACGCCGTCAATTACTTGGCGTCGTGAGAACAATGCCATTCTACCAACAGGTAAGCTCATTGCTTTGAGAAAATTATGTATAATTTTTCAGGATAGCAAGAGACTTTCGTTCCACACTCAAGCACTCGTGTTTTTTATAGTTAAAACTGTACTAGAGCCCTTTCTTTCCAATACCAAGTAGTAGCGTTTGTCCTAATGCTTTTTAAGCTTGGATGACCCAAATAAAAGTGCGTATTATAAAATCTACCGGAGTTTATTGAACTATTTATATTCAAATAATAAATTGCTAATAGAAGCAGCGTGGCTGGTGACTCACTTTTGATTTAATTAAGCAAGGTTAGATGAGAAGGCAAATAGGGGTCAGAGAGACAGTGTTAATTAAACTTCAGGGCGTCGCATTTTTCATACGCACAGTCGCAAGCGTAACAATGATTGTGACAGTAGATACTCATATGGATGTATGAATGTATACAAAAGCATTAGTTAATGACTCCTTAAGTTTTAATTTTAATCTTTTGATTCGCGAAACCTACATTCCTATTGTCCTTCTTGGGGGGTACTTAGGGGCTAGGTGTCCTACTTTGGTGCTAGCTTCGCATGTCCGAGACCATTAAACGCTTCGTACATATACATATGTATGTATATGTGTATAGTTTAAAAACAGACACGAATGGCCGTATACAATTTACTAAGCTTAAGAAGCTTTCATTCCCCTGGAATTGCTAACTTTCGTTGAGGGAGTGGGCTGTGGGTTTATCGCAGTGAAAGTTAATTGCGACTTAACTTCTAATTTAGCAATTTTTTTAACCAAGCCCGTATCTTGCCAAGTATTTCTAAGTGCATGCATATGAACATATTGAATTACACATTAAATAGTACACAAAATTAACTGTTTAATGCATACACACACGCACACACATACCAACCATAAAAACAGTCTGTTACTTAGCAAGCTCTAACGCCGTTAGCATTCGACTACCAATCGTCGAGTCTGAGAGACCACTTTTCTCAGTTGTAGGTGCGCAAACAGGTTTTCTCACGGATCGCTCAGCGCGTTGCTCTCCCTTATACGAACACTGTTCAC